ATGGTGGAGCTGATAGGTGAGGGAAGTGGTGGGATGGAGGGGCTGGACCCAGGGTCACTGGCTCCCTCAAAAATGGTACTGAAGTTTTGCTGCCCGTGCTCTAAAATGCAGGGTAATGCTGAACTGAAGAGTTTAGATGTGGACTCTCGGGTCATTGAATACAGACCCTGAGATGTTCCACCGGACTTAGGGAGCGTATTGTTGGATAAACCACTTTGAAATGATTCTTACTGAAAAGGAGCAAATTGTTATTACAACGGAAGAGGAGGTTGCACAGAAAAACATATCCCAGAAGAGACAGAAGAAGCAAAAACTATGGCTCAGGAGTAAATTAAGCTTAAAATAAAAGCTAAACCAAAAAAGAAAGCGACTGAACAATATGTCTACTTAAACATTTAATGCTTATGCGCAGCAAACAGCATTATTTAAAAAACAAACAAACCACACAACACCTGAAAACAGAATGCAACAAATTGGAAGTAATATTTGTAAATTCCTCATCAGACAAAAGATAAGTAGCACATAAATAGATCGTGTAAATGAAGATATCACTCTAATGCATTCTTGGTAAGCAAGTAAAAGTATAAGCATCCACTTAGTTTACAACATCTCAGACAAATAAGACTAGCTCTCAGCAAACACACATAAAAACTCAATCATCTCCCCAACTATCAATTTATAATTTGCAATTAAGTTTATTAGTCAACATCTAAAGAATTTTTAAAACATTTATTATTTTACCCAGATACCATTAACTTGGAACGAATTAATGAAATCCAGCCAGTAGGCCTACCTTGTCCAATATGGTAGCCATGAACCACACATGGCTACACAGCACTCAACATGTAGCTTGTCTGAGTTACTATCAATGTAAAATGTCAGTATAAACTACAAACCATCTTTCAAAGACTTAATATGAAACAGAATGTAAAGTAGCATGTGAATATTTTATATTAATTTTTTTAGAAATTTTATATAAAACATTGTTTCACTGGTATCGATTTCTTTCTTGCGGCTAACAGCAGATTTCAGATGACATATGTGCTTCTAGACCTACAACATTCTTTGATCTGTGCTGATGTCACATAGTTTCTACTTCAAACAACCAATCAGCCCTTTATTATCTCTGTTACTTGTATCAAAGCCTTTTAAAATAGTATTTTATAAGCAATAGCTCTAAGCAGACTTATGACTATGTCAAGGGTTGGAAAACTATGACTTATGGGCCTACTACCTTTTTTAGTACGGCCTATGAACTAAGAATGGCATTTTCTTTTTTCAAATGACAAAAAAATAACAATTAGAATGATACTGCATGATATATAAAAGTCACATAAAGCTCAATAAAATTTTATTGAAACACAGCTATGTTCATTAGTTGATGTACAGTCTAATGTCATTTCTTACACTGCTGTTGAGTAGATTCTGCCTAGAGATCCTACTGGGCTGCCAAGGGCAAGGACGAATGCTCAAACTTACTAGCTGCTCAGTGGGAGAAAGATGAAGCTGTCTGTTCCCAACAGGATTTATAGTATCGATAACCCTATATAGGTTCACTATGCGTCTGAATCGATTCCATTAGTGGGTTTGGGTTTCGGTATGGCTACTTCCGTGCTACAGGGCATAGTCCTGTAGTTGCAACAAAGATCATATTGTCCATAAAGCCTAAAATATTCTCTGACTTGTTCTAGAAAAATCTCGTTCTAGAGAGCCTGCCTAGTGCCAATGAACCATATATCACCCCTTTAATATGTACATCTTAAAAGCCACTTTGACACAAGAGACCTCTCCTCATCTGGGGTATGATTCTCAAGAAGGGGGTGGGGGGAGGGCGGGAGAGAACCATTTAGTTGCTGCCACCCCAAATTAACCGACACTCCTACCAGAGTGATAAGTGAACCTTCCTGGGACTTCAAGTCAAGATGTGGGGAGAGGGGCATGTGTGTCTTGGAAAAGGGAACTACACTTCTGTTAGTGGGTAAAACAGGCAGGGCAACCTCCTATGGGGGGGAAATGGCTTAACAGTACTTACCCACGAGGAGAATATGCCCAGTACTATGTTCCTAATTGGACACGTTTGAGCTAGTTTCTATCCAGCCCTTAGTGACTCAGGCCATGTACTATAAAAGTGGGGCTTTAGACTCTGTCCTTTCAAGCCGCAAAACATCCTACATAGGTCCCACCTGAAGAATTTGATGTGAAAACCCCACCCAGCAAACTGGTCTTTACTCAAACTCACCTGCAGCAGATATAAGGAAGCAATATAGTTCCTTGAACTTACAGCTGAAAAGCCTAGTGTGAGAAGAAGTAGATGGCTGCTATCACAAGATGAAGGAATTTGTGGTCATTGGACTTTGCTTAAGATCTCTTGCTTTGAGTCCCCAATGAATTGTGGCCCAGGACTACCATAGATGTACTCTTTGAATGCCATCCTTTCTTTCTTATGACATGTATTAGTCTGGTAGGCATAGTTCTGCCTTTGTGAATGAATGTTATTAAAAGTTTTGCCCTATGACCAACCCTCATTGTTCATGCAAATAGTGTCCAGTAACTTTAGATTTTAATCTGTACAAGTCAACAATACATGTATTGCAGTTTGTAGCTGGCCTATCCTTGTATAATTTCCTTTTCTCAACAGTGTTTTAAATTCTATACCATTGGCTGAATTAATGACACTATCAATAGATGATTTATAATGTTCTCTATAATAAAATGACAGTGATGCGTAGAGTGAACCACAGACATATATAAATCATAAATATATGAATGAATTTGGATCTCACATTTAATTCTAAGTCCAATCTAAGAACAATTAGTTTTTGTGACATGGCCCTAACTTGATACTCACCCTCATGAAGAGATCACTGAAGATATGGCGTGGAGATAATAGATGATGCTCAGCTATCACAGAAAGAATAGCATCTGGGGTCTTAAAAGCTTGTCTAATATCTAAGACCCAGAACAAAATCATACCCAAGGTGAATGGGGCGGAACCCCCCCACACACACACACATGGAGTGGAGAGACCCAATGCCCATCTGTAGATAATTGGACATCCCCCTACAGAGGGGTCACAGGGAAGAAATGAGCCAGTCATGGTGCAGTATAGCACCAATGAAACACAGTTCTTTGGTGCTTACTTCCCCCCCTATCATGACCTCAATTCTACCTTACATATCAGATTAGACCAGAGCATGCATACTGCTACAGATTAGAGCCGGAAACACAGGGAATCCAGAATAGATACCCGCCCTCCCCCAGGGCCAAGAATGAGTAGAGATACCAGGAGGATTAGGGGAAGGTGGAGGGAAAGAGGAGGACTTGATCACAAGGATCAACCTAGAACCCCCTCTCAGGGGGACGAACAACAGAAAAGTGAGTGAGGGGCAATGGAGGATGATGTAAGATATGAAAATAATAATCTACAATTTATCAAGGGTTCGTGAGGGAGGGTGGGGGGAGGGGAAGAAATGGGAAGCTGTTATCAGGGGCTCAAGTGGGAAGAAAATGCTTTGAAAATGATGATGGCGGCATATGTGGAAATGTGCTTGACACCCTGGATGAATGCATGGATTGTGTAAGAGATGTAAGAGCCCCCAATTTAAAACAAAACCAAAAAAACACACGCTTGTCTTAAAACAAGCAGCCAATTAAGTGAGCTATGTCAATTACATCCACATGGAAGAAGCACACCAGGCTATGTGATACAGGGATTACAAATAATCAAATCCAAATCCAAAGGAAGCATGGTATCAGAGCTTAGCCTGTGAACACCTGGTTTTCAGAGGCTGTGGATGACAGTGGAAGACCCAAAGCCATCTGCAGGGTCCACCCATGGATTAAGCTCCAATGAGCCCCCTCTGAACAGTCTAGGGATGTGAAAAAGCCTTGCTGTCATATAGAGAGCACTGTAAAGTTGACTATGGCAGATGTAGTTAGTTAAAATGTAACACTTCAGCATTTGATCTCCATTTGGACCCATTTTCACGTTGTTTCAGTTTTACGATTTTCTGCTTTCCTTTCTATATTTTGTCTAGTCATTAGTTGTTGTTTTTTTTCATTTGTTTGCTTCCTGTTTGTGTTTTGTATGATTTTCTTTATATGAAATCCAGAGTAGGTAAGTCTACTGAGACAGTAACTGGATTAATAATTCAGGGCATGGCAAAGGAGGGTGGGGTAAAATAGGGACCTAGCACCAATGAGTACAGGGGGCAGGGAGTTCTGAAATTGATTGTGTGATGACTGCACACTCTTCTTAATATGACTGAGTGATTACATTATATGATATGTCAAGTATATGCCAATAAAACTACTTAAACAGAGGAAAAGCCTGCTGATTCCTCCTATATATAATCCCTGTTGTCCGTAGGGAAGAGTAGGGAGGGAGAGTTAGTTACAGAATAATGAGAAGGAAGAGATGAGTTTGGATTTCAAGCTTCCTTACTGCTTGCTGACATTATTGTTCTCGGCTCAAGAAAGTTATCTGAGACAACCTCTTCTGAAACGTAGGTTACACAAGGTTTACACAACACCAATGTTTAGAGATCTATGAAATCAAATGGTCAGCATGGCCTTTGCCCTCACCTTCAGGGATGTTCTAAGGCACCACTGTTGTCCTTTGAAGGCTTGGGTACTCACTGCTCTTTTGATATCCAGTCTATGGGCACGAATTTATTTTTCTTCTAATATGAACCAATTTCACTGCCATAGAGTCTATGCCAACTCATAGCCACCCTATACAACAGAGTAGAAATGCCCTGGAGAGTTTGGGAAAATCTTTATGGGAGTAGAAAGTAGCTGTTAGTTTTGAAGCGCTAACCTTACAGTAAGCAGTCCAATGCATAACTACTATGCCACCAGGGTTCCTTCTTTTCATATGAGGGGGCTTCAAAATTTTAGTTGAAAAATGGAAAGAAAAGGCAATCGAGTTTTCCCACGAGCTTTCTGAAACCTCTGCCTATCTCTATGCCCATTTGTACGACGGCTTCTCGGGTACGTACCTCAGTGGACCCTGTGAACGCAATCTTGTCTATGCCAATGTGAGAAGCTATTGCTGCCCCGGCGGTAGGCCCGTATCCTGGCAAAATATTGATGACTCCTGGTGGAAAGCCAGCCTAGCAAAACAACGAGAGGAAGCCTGGCTTGTGAGAGCTGCTGAAGCACTTTAAGCCAGGTCTGCTCCAGTAGGCCTCCTCGGGCAGGGGGCCAGAGGCCCTCCTCCAGCGGTCCTCTTACCTCCTTGATGAGGGCGCCCATGTAGAGCGCGCTGAGTGGCGTTTGTTCTGCTGGCTTAATAACGACTGTATTGCCACAGCACAGAGCCGGAGCGATCTTCCAGGCAAACATCAGCAGGGGGAAGTTCCACTGCAAGGGGGGGAAAATCCAAGATTGATAGATGGAAAAAAAATGTCCCCACGACTTTATTTTCAAGCTGTGACTTCTCACATTTCTTGGGCTCGTCCACAACGCAAATCTCGTCCACCACCATGTACAGAGGTTTGGGTTTCTAATCACCGCATTAGGAATAGAGTAACACTGACTTTGAGAATCTCTCTTTTTCTGTCTGTCTGGCAAATCACAAACTTGGTGGGTAGTAGGGCTACCCACAAAATGTTACCCATCTCGTGGTGAAAGGGTTTTTTAATTTCCTCTGTTTCTGGATTACTGCTATTTCATATATATTTTAAAGTAGACTTTTTAACTTTAAAATGAATTTTTTCCCTTATAGTTAACATTTTAAAAGCAGAATTGTCACACTGGCATGAAGTCTCTTCAATATGGAAGAACAAAAGAGGAAATTCTAATGGTGAATGACATTTATATCAATGCGTATTTCAATGTAGCATTTTTTCCCTCCATGTTCAGGTACTGTCACAAAGGGAACTCTGTTGGTACAGTGGTTAAGTACACATTTGCAAGCCAGAATGTCAGCAGTTTGAACCCAGCAGCCGCTCCACGGGAGAAGTACGTGGCAGTCTGCTTCTGTGAATATTACAACCTCAGAAACCCTCTTGGACAGTTCTCCTGAGCCAAAAAGTGGCTATACGTGGAAATTAACTCTATGGCAAGGGGTTTGGTTGGACTGTCACAAAATACACATCGTTATGGAGTCTAAATTACATTTAGGTGAGGATATGAATTTTAGTCCAAAAATCCTTTTAGAACCAAAAAACTGGTTCTAAAAGGATAATAAGCTTGTGTTGTCGTAAGTTCGGGCATAAGCGTCACTACTATCAGGTGTCATTGATAATTTCATTAAGAAAGAAAACAGAAAGCGTGGTCCCCTGGCCTCAGCCCCTGACCACAATGTGTTTCAGCCTGAAGCATCTCAGCTGCCATCCGTGAAGGCCTCTCACAGGCCCAGGCAAGCTTGCAAAAATATACAAGTGTCTTACCTTCACCAAACACCCAATTTCTTTTCCCCTTAGTTGTTTATAAACTTGGGAGTCCACGGTGATGTTTTAATTCCATCTACAGTATATAAATCTTGGAGCCCAGTAAGTGAGCTGGGGCTGGCTGACAAGTAGCTCTTGTCCTGTCAGTGAGAGCTGTATCTCTGAGAGTCAGGGCAAAGGCAAAGGCAGAAGCGGGTTTGAGTCCCTAGAATTAAGGTCCGGGAATCTCACCCCTGCTCAGCACCAAATAGGATTTCCCAGTTTAGGAGCACAGGAACTTAAAGCATACCTCTCATTTTCATTTTCTACTCTCAAATATATTTCATAGTTAACTCCAGCTTGTAGATCATATACAAATATTAATGCCTACCAAAAACTTTGGCCCCCAAAGCTAGGGATTATCTTGATTTGTTCTCCTAGAGTTTGACAAAAGGACACTTGCTCTCTACAATAAGCATTCATTTGAGATTCCACTGGAAATTCCTGCACAGCTACCAGCTAGGACTGCTAGAAGATCCAATGATGTTTTGTATACATAGTGCCAAGGGGGCGCATGAGAAAGAGAGAGGGGAAAAAAGGACAACGTTTAATGTTCCAACCCCAAATTTCAGCACTACATCTATTTCCCTTTACAAGGCACACAACAGCCGGCATGGTTTCAATTACGACCATGACACTAACTGCACTGCTGTGTCTTCCTAGCATCATCTATCGAATCTTATGAAAAGAAACAGTCGGAGAGAATGGAATTAAAAGACCATATAAAATAATAAGCCTGGAAAGATGATGAGTCACAGTTCTAAACAATAAATAAGCAAATATAACAAAGCATTAATTTTCCATAAGCAGGGTGGACATCCACAACTGTGGGCAAGTTATTAATACACCGTGCTTTGCTTTGCTTATTTTAATCATGAGAATCCCATGACTTGGGAACTCAACTTCCTGGTAACGGAGCTGAAACCCTATTAACCTGTTCAAATAAGCATTTGCAGGAAGGCTGCTAAAGATATGTCAACAACATGAGCTCACGATTTTTTTAACTTTTCAGTAATGGAAAACACACATCGCTGAGGTCCATGTTTTACGTGTCTTCAAGGGAACAGATTCAAATGAAAATAAATACAAGGCGTGAGGAGACACACTCACCGGGATAATCTGTCCACACACGCCGATGGGTTCGTGTCTTGTGAAGGTGAAATAGTCGCCATCTGAAAGAAACGAGCCTGGTCACCTCAGAGTGGAGAGGAGAAGACAAAAGGGAGGGGGAAAGGAAACGTGGAAAATGGTGGGGAAAGATCCCAATCTATTCTGCTGAAAGCTGGCACAACAATGTACCATGTACCAGCTTGGAGCAGGGTGCTCTGGGATACACTCTCAGAAGCCCAAACAGAGTCCTAGGGAAAACCTCAAAGGCAGAAATGCAGACGAAGCTAACACTGGAAATCCTTCGAGGAGAAAAAAGCCGGAAGTTTGTAAACTGTACGCTAAGAACAGTTTATTTTAAAACGGAGGTACCTTAAAATTTTGAAGTGACGCTCTGAAATATTAAAAAAAGCCAACTAAAGTGACATAAAGTCCATTTAAGATGCTGGCTGTGCTAGTGAGAGATGTCTTGTAGTTTGACCCAAGTGTGAAGATGTACTTCCTGGGTGCGGGTGGGACACAGGCACACGCAGGGTGACCGAAAGAAGAGAACGCTGTGCATCCCCCAAAGCCTCTATCCCCAAATGAGCCATGGGGACGAGGAAGCCTTTTGTATCCCTAAGGGCTAAAAGGAAACGAGCTTGAGGGAGACTTAATAAGAAATTGTGTGGGTTTTTCTTGTTTGTTTTCCATTTGTTTGAGTTTTTATGGGAACCACTGTTTGGAAAAGAGTGCTGGAAAAAACACACAAACCCAGTCCTTAATGCTGTCCTGAATTTCCTACGAGGTGCAACAGGCAATTGAGACCATCACCCAGGTAGTCCAGATACAAATTCTTTTTAGGAATATGCCATTACTTTATCTACACGGCTAAATGAAATCACCACGGAATCGCTTTTCAGCAACATGGCTTTTCCTTTTCAGTGTTTGGTAGGGTTATTAGGCTTTTCCCCCGTGGCCAACTCCTTGGTCACTGCATTATATGTGTCTTCTCTCCTGCTAGCAGCCTCTCCAGGGAAAGCGCAGAGACCCTTAGCCGGGGTTCAGGAAGAGCATGACTACCAGGGGTGGAGATGAAGGCAGGGGCAGGGGAGTGTGTGCAGACTGACAACAGAAATGATGGGAACTATTTGGATCATTTATCCTGATCTGTCAACACAACTAAATTACCATTATTTGTCATACAAAAATTTTCATTAAATTCAAAATCATGCAGTTTTAATCTGCTAAAATCAAGGTCTCTTCTCTTAGTCTTTGGGGTCTAGTCCCTCTTCCCAGAAGTAACGATTATCTGCTCTGGAGTATCTTTTCAGAAAACTTACTCTTCACATGCCACTGTCCTTTTATACTTGCTTTTTACATATTTTTCCCATAAATAGAATTCATTATCCATGTGATTTATTTGTACTTTTATCTACATTTTTATCAGTGCCTGGATCTTATTTCACCTGCTCGGTAAGTACGGGACTACTGTAACTCTCCTGGGTGACCAGAGGCCCTTTCCAGATTAGGCTGTCATAAATAATGCCGTGAGTAGATCTATGAAAGTCAGGGGTCAAGCGGTATGTGCTTTATATATCTTCATAAGTATCACCAAATTACCCTTTCAAAAAGCCGAACAATTCACGATTCCAGCAACAACATTTTCCATTATCTTTTAAAACACTGGGCCTTTTCTCGTGTTAAGTGCTGCATTTGGTTGAATATCTTTTCATGTTGAATGGTCACTTTCAATTTCTTTCTTCATATGTACCACCATTTTCTCCCCTGGGCTTGTTCTATGCATATCCAGAAAAATATGCTTTTGCTTTGTGTTGCAAAAGTTTCCCCCAATTTGGTGCTTGCCTTTCGAGTCTGTTTTATGTCTATCCTTTAAACTAGAAAACACTAGGAACCACGGAGAAGCCAGTGACTACGGGAAGGGAACTGCATTAGACACTCTACTGCAACAACAGAAATAGCCACTCTGTGGAAATGGTCTACAACATGGCAATAAGACGTCTGAGTAATATTACTTTAATGGGATTTCTGTGTTAGCCTTGTAGACAGGCAACTCAAGAATTGAAAACACCCATTCTTTGCAGCAGTGTATATTACCACTCGTCTTCAGTTTAGATGACTCTGGAAAGGTGAAATTTGTTTTTAACAAGGAAATACTTTCAATAAGGTCTGTAATTAGGCAAAGGTGATGGATCACAACCCTAGACCACAGAAGCAGAGTGTAACGGCGAGATGGAGTGAAAAGGAGCTGAGGGAAATGGGAGCACGAACTGCAAAGGGAGCGTGGGTGTTGACAGCATGCTCCCTGTACTGCGTGGTGGAGCGGTCTGGGGCGGTGCTTCTCCAAGGCCTGTGTGCACACCAGACACCAGGGATCTTGTGAACTGTGGGCCTGAGGTCCTGCACTCTCACAGGTGCCCACACCACACCATGAAGTGAGCGTACAAAGGAACCCTGAGGGTGCGGGGAGCCAGGATGACCTAAAGTTGCTCTATAGTTGTCTGCCTTCTTTCTGACTCATTTGCCTTTTTGATCTCTACTAACTCTACTAATTTACGATTTGAAAAGAACTGCAATGGAGGAGAATCTCATCAGTATTTTTCATATTCTCAAGCCAGAGCAAAACCATGATTTATTTCTATAGCCCCTTACAAAATGCTCATAACAACTGAATAAAATACAGCAACTAGTATTATTTTACACATGATGAAAATGAGGCCCAGAGAGGTTCGGCTGAGACTCCTGGACTCAGATTTGGCTGTTCAGACTTCAAGTTCATTGTTCATAAAAGCACGTTAAAGGCCATTTTGTGAAGATGACTGCCAACCACAGAACCAGAGTGCAACATCAAGGCAGCATGCAGACGAGGCTTTAAAAACTGGCCCAAAGAAAGGAGCTGATCATGAAGAAGAGTGAAGAGAGCGCACACGGGCTCAAGCATCGCAGGTTACGAAGCAAACCCGAGCGAGAGCAGCACGCCCCGTCAGACGCAGGAGCCCGGGAGCGCTGCTCACGCCGCCTCTGCGGCTGGGCTGAGCAGACTAGCAGAGGGGCCAACGGGATCTTTCTTGCTCTCCACTGAAGATCGTCTGCGCAGTAGCTCTCTTCCTGACGGGAAGAAACATGACAGCCACTTTTCTACCTTTTACGTTGGTCATGCTTTCTAAATATGGGAGAACTTAAAATGTTGTTGCTCTTTTCTTCAGCTTTGTGTTATAACCTAGCCGGATAGGATAAAAAGCTCCCATCTGAACTCAGGAATGCCATTTGGGCTCCTACGATATCATCTTTTTACCAAATAAGAAACACTGTGATGAAGCCACAGATGCAACAAGAAAGGATTGCTTGAAAATCCCAGAAAAACCATTCTCAAGACCACAATCTAAACCAAGAAGTTCATTCAATGCCAGCGAGTTGATTATGACTGATAGTGACGCTACAGGACAGGGTAGACCTGCCCCTGTGAGTTTCCAAGACTGTATCTCTTTATGGGAACAGAAAGCTTTACTTTACTCATAGCAAAACAGAAATATTAAATTGCATTTTAATATAATGTAAGACTATATTTTTCTGACTCCTTCTTACATAAAAAGTTATTTTTAAAAACCCAAAGACCCCCAGAGTAACAGAGGTTGCTCATAAAAGGGGTTTATTTTAAGACTTGGCCAAAGATAATTTTTTGATGTGTTTGCACTTGACTGTTTTCCATGAAGAAAGTAAAACCTGCAAAAGTCAGAACCTGTGTATGGTAGAAGACTGTCAGAGATGGAAAACACAAATACCTTCCATTAAAACAGACAAGAGAATGTGATACAGCTGCAACAGAAGGCAGAACGCATGGGACATCTCAAACCCAAATCAAGGCCATCCTGTCCAGTCCCAACTTTTACAAGCTTTGCTGTTAATAGTTTACAACTCATGAAAAATATGACCTTATGATTAAACACCTCAATGAACTAAGAAGTTAGTTGAACTGAGGTACAAATTTTACTATGTTCCATATTTCAGCATATCTAAAATTGTCTTAAAGAAAAGCCTTCATCCTAGAGATAAAAATAGTACAAGCCTCTTCTATATTTGTAATGTTGATCATTGTTCTGGTTTCATTGGGGGGTGGGTATCATCAAATTAAACAGGAGAGGTATCAAGAAATTGGGGAATAATTGATTAAATAAGAACCTCAGGAAATAATCTCCCAATGGTAATAGTAAGTTCTTTCAACCACTGTAGCAAGTTACATAGCTATGAACAACCAAAATTAGTTCATTTGTTAGCATAAAAATGTTCCCATCTCCAATCTGTGCACTAAAGTACTTTTCCAGAATGAACCCAGGGCAGCACAGAGCAAGTGCATGGAACTATTCCGTTATCTCCCCCAGCGCATCCCTGTGCCGTCTGACCCGCACAGATCGCACTGCATATTTTGCATCTGAATGATAAGCTCCACAAATGCCTATACAATCACCGAAACTTTACCTCGGTGTGACGTGAGTGGTACTAGAACTCTTCTTCCCAGGAGTCTGCCGGCAACTACTAAGAAGTTGGGTTGCATGTTTCTGAGTCGGTTATGAAGATGTCTTAGTGTACCACTAGTCTGCTAGTGATGCTTGAAAAAAAGTCACCTGACATTTCTGCATCTGGGATCTTTGTCTACAAAGTGAGGGGGTAGCCTTAGGTCTCCCAAAGATCCTTGCAACCCTGACATCTCAGAGATTACATATGAGGCAGCCTTTGCAGAGTCCTGTCTAGTTCAATTCAGGTCCTACTCACTACCCACCCACCCCCTTCTCCTCAGCTAGTCAGAGCAAATAGCTCCTCACGCTAACTGCTGAGTAAACAAGAAGGCTCTCTTGCGTCCACTGTCCACTCACACTCCACTAGATTAAACTGACTGAAGGAAAATGTTCAGCGTGGGGCCATCATCTCTGTGCATCTTTAGACTATTCTTTAACAGGAGAATTTAGAGGAAATGAAATAGATCAATATTCCTTAGAACGTGGGTAGGTTTTTAAACCTCTTTCATATGCTAATGCATATGAAAATGCATAAAGACATTTAGCGGGATCAGAATTCATCTTAAAGCATTGGCTATGTTTTCTCTGCTTACATGTACAAAATAAATAAAATGAACACGTGTTACAGGGGAAAACCAAAGGTAATGCAGCTCAATTAACCTCCATTTCTCTCATGAGACAATGCAAACAAGCTTTGATTCTCTCTCCATCACATGTATGAATAGAACTTTAATAGAGGATAGAAAAGAACCAAATCAAGGAACCAATATTTTCTCTGCAGAGCTGCCATGAGAGTAAAGATACTAAAAGAGGAACAACGAAAGTGTTCAATAAACTTTAGGCGAGATTATTTATCATCCTAAACAGGGGTGGCCAAAGGAGAAGGGTCAGAGCATGGGAGAATGGCTCCCTTGGGTACCATCACGGGAAGTAATGGGCAGTGTTATAAAAGGAACACCATCAAGACCCCTGGGAATCAAACTGGGATTGTCTAATTCGGCCACGACACCGACTGTGCCCCTTGAGTGTGCTAGAACAGAGAGCAGGCACAGAAACCGCTGTCCAGTGTACAGCTCAAAACGGGCCTTTCCCGCTTTTCAAGACTCCCAGAGGGGGCTACGCTTTGCAGGGAGAAACAAAGCAGATACCTGCCTTCCCCAACTCATTATACAGTATGTATACAACGCACTCTTTCAAAAACGCAATTCTGATCAAGGCACTCATTTATTTAAAATAATTAAGAGATTCATCATTGCTTATGGAGAAAGCTCAGGCTCAGGTCTCCGTCTGGCGACACTGTCAGATTCACTAGCATAATGAGCTCTCATCCTCCCATGCTTAGCACAAACTGGGCTACCTTAACCTCCACCTTCCCTTACTTGTACTTCAGGTAGCCCTCTTCCTCTGTTAGGGTGCCTTCCTAGAAGCTTGGACCCCACAGCAACCTTAATCCTGGTTGAGTCACTCTGTGTTTCAATTGTTTGCTTCCCTTAATGTTCTATGAACATCGAGTATTTCATACTCACTCTTCTATCGCCAGTGCTACAATGCCAGTTCTGAGCCCTAGTGCTTGGAACATAGTCGATGCTCAATAAAAAGAGCTATTGAATGAATGAGTGAATACAAGAGAGACTGATGTTGATCGTTAGTAGAGGACACAAATCCCAAACATACTAAGTGGGTATTTTATAGGGAAAAGCATGACATGCAAGAAAGACTCATGGTTCAAGACCCCTTATATTCCAAGTCTCAGTATGGGAAAATCAAGTACGTGGACACAAAGTTAAGCTAATGCTGAATTACTGAGTTAAAATGATAAGCACAGAAGGACTAACTGAACACATTTAAGAATAAATGGGTAATTATGATTATTCCATTCCATTTTGCTAGTATTCTCCTGTGAGCCCCTTGGTTCCAGTCCAGCTAAATTCGCTAAGCACTGGCCAGTAAAAGGAATCATTGGCTGAATTTCTTGGTAGCCCACAGGCAAGCCTCAATGTTTCCAAAACTGGAGCAGACATAGACGCTGCCTTCCAAGTATACCTTTGCTTCAACCCTACCCTCAGCTGCAAGAAGCTTATATCTCAAACTTGAGCGTCCTAAGAGGTCCTACAGACTGTGCCCTGCAACCTGATAGCCATCAAAATGTACTTTAATCATTAGGGGAACAAAAAATTACTTCATTTAAGTGAATTTTTCTTAGAGCATTGCCTGAAAGCATTTTTAAAGCCCTGTGTTCCTAACCTCTCAGTCAATATCCTCAGGCTCTCCAAAGAGCATCAGGTGTTCATTGTTCTGATACTGAAAGGCATGTGGGGTAGGAAGAGGGTAAAATACCTAGGCCTCTGGTCTTATTAATTTACCTTTCTGCACTAATATAGAAGCCAAACCAAGGCTGACAAATTTCAAGTCTTTAGATAAAGATTTTCGTCTCTGATCCACTCCATACCACGTTGACTCTGCCTTACGCAGGCCATCCCTAATCCTAAAAGCGACGCTGGAAAAGCGGGGTTCCATCATATCCTGAAGGCCAGGGTTGAACCAAAATTCTGACAGTCAAAAACAATCTTCTCTCTCCTGAATCTGCTGAACAAGACCTTCTGGCTGGTTAGAGAGCCTATAATTTGAAACCCATTTTCTACAGGTGAATATTCCACATGCCAGCTTCACTCGTGGAGGTAATTTTTAAACAGTCCTTTTAAAAGTTCTGGCCCTTGCCCACTCTCACTGTAACATGGTCGCTTGTTGCTCCATGCCTAGAGGAGATGGTGCAACAGTGACATCATTCGGCTCTAGGTCTCTGCAGTCTCTCCTTACTACTCCAGGAGGAGGACTGGCAGCACTCAGAAGCTGGTGAAGGATGGAGAAAGAACCTCAAACCCTACCCCAGCCGAAGTTGTACTGTGATCCTTATGTACATTAAAGTTCTCAAGACCCATTGCTCCGATCCACCTGTATTGTCAGCCAAATCATCTGCTTTCCTAGGAAACAGATACAGTAAATGAATCTGGCTAGCAAGATTCTTCCATGGATAATGCAAAGTGCACAGCAGTACTCCTCCATTCTTCCTAGTCTGCACTCTTCTTGGGAAAAAGGCTGTTTTCCAGAGGCCAGGCAGAGCACCTGGCACAGTGCTTAGCAGTTAACACGCTCTACTCAATCGCTGAGCACTTCCTTCTCTGTCTACACTCCACTCCCAACATGCTCCTGTCTTTTAGTTGGTGCCCCTCTGTCATGGTAGATCTTCCTCCCAGTGGCTTCAGTAAATCCTCTACTGAACGGGCTCTGATGTCAAACTCTGAACATACACACTTTTTACTACGTGAATTACGACAACTGTTGAACTTCTCTAGGCCTCAGGTTCCCTCCTCCATAAATAAGGATGCGATTCCGACTACCTTCCTCCCTAAGTTGTTGTAACAGCACTCAAACAGGTATTGGTCATCACTAGTATTGGACCATAGCTCAAAACTGCTCCAAGGACTACAGTCTCAAAAACGCTTCTCCTTTAAGGCACCACCACTGACCGATCAAGCCATTCAACTCAGCACCTATCTGTAACTCTTCGTGTAAAGATCTCTAATTGTTTTGTGCTTTGGGTTTTGTCTCCTGACCTTAATCTTAAAACAAAACCAACAAACAAACAAAAAACCAAAGAGGGAGATGCTAGGGTTTGGCAGGATTTTAGCTAGTTTTTAATAGGCTGTGAAAGTGAACTGTGGCCATTATAAATAACATGGAAATGCACATGCTAAAAAAGTTATCCACAATCTCACTGCTAAACAAACAACTGTAACATTTGTCTTTCCATCCAAGCTAGTAGATCTTAGGACTGTCTTAGGCTAAGGACTGTCTTAATTTTGTGGAATTTTCTTCAATCTCCCCTCTTCCCAGCACCCTTCTACATCCCCAGCACCTCACCTAGCACAGTGCTAGGCATTTAGCAAATGACAAATATTTACTTGTTCATGTATTGATTTAAGTGTTTTGGGCCCCATTTATATGTGGGATGGCCCAAGAACTAGGACCACGTCAGTCCTTGACATACTTTGTTTCATTCTGTGTTCAGCTCCAGATACTGTATACGTAAGCCGATCTGTGTTCTAGGACTGCTGATTGTGTGGTGAAAATGTGTTTCTGGTGGAACTTCATGTTTCCCTTTGCAACTCATCCCAATTTTACATACCTACAGGGATGGTCATCCCATGGATTTTATCAGCCCAGCCTGCATAATACCGAAGGGTTTTGATGACACCTTGCAAATCCACATAAAAAGCTTGCAGGAATGGTTTGCCACCATTTAGGGATTCCATGGTCTGCAGGAAAAGAAAGGAGAGAAACTAAGTCCCTAGCACTCTCCGAGGACAAACTGAATAATTTCTGGAGCAGAAGAAGGAAGAAGGGCTGATCTTACCCGGCAACTCTGAGGTCCCAAATAAAACAGTTTTAAGTTCTACCCATATAATCTGGTTTCCAGCAAAACCTGCACCGATGGTGAATATACATATGCACATTCTTGTGTGTTTCCAGTAACCACTGTTGAAATGCGTAAACACGACCTTGATGTAACTGGCAATAAAAGGGTGTCCTACATGTAAAACCAGCTTGTGTTATAATAATGAGCAGAGCTGCATGGGGACGTTTTTTGAGGTCTTCGTCAGTAATCTGAACCCACACAGAGGTGCAGAACATGGGCTCTTGATACAACTGATGAGAATGTACAAAGTCCTCTGCAGCTGCCAAGACCCCTGCCGAGAAACGGAATATCCACAGCGCAGCTAGTTTATTTATTACTTCTAAATAAACAAGAGCTCCTCCAGGGAAGCTCAGACTTTTAACAACTTAAAGGCTAGTTTTTTGTAAACATTTACATTAACAACCATTATCTATTGAAAAGAAAGTACTGGTCCAGTGAATGAGAATAGTGATATTAAACAGTTTCAGATTGTGATACATGGTTTTAATAACATATTTCTAAATGAATTAAGTCTATAACGCACATAACAAATGAACATACTAAAATGAAAAAAGTGTCTTCACTTGAGAACTATTAAAAGTGCTGTATGTTTAGCAACTAAAATAAACAAAAATATGTGCTTGTTATCTTCATGCTCCTCTCCATAACATATAACACAGACTGGTGTGAAAATTGAATACCATCTAAAATGGAAATATTCTCTTCAACAAAAATGAAAATACTGTTGCTTATGAGGCAATCTATCCACTTGCCATATAAACAAGATGGAGCTCATTTTAAAACATTGTTTATTTAGCACTGCCTATTGGTTAACTTTTATGAAAGTGAAACAATATAAATTATTTCACATTACTCATTAAAACATTTACATGCTCATGGAATGGGGGAGCTTCACTTTACACTTTATTCTGCATGATAGGCTACAGTACAAATATTTTTACTTGCCAGTGGGGTGCTAAGTTTTGTTTTGTTTTCCTGAAAGGGGGATAATATATCAAGCAAATTTGGGAATCTATAGTCTCTAGGGTTCCATGAGGTGGAATAGTCAACAGCAAGAGGATCTGGTTGGTTGGCACAAGCTACAGACCCCAAATTCACCCGAGAAAGGCCAGCTCTGGATCTATTTTGATAGTGTTTATTGGGATGTGACATCGTGCTTTCTGGTCAGGAGCTTCCCTAAATTTCACACTGGGTAGAGATTTTCAAAGCCACTAATATGCTAATCAAATGTATTTTGTGAATCTTCAAGGTTCGCAAATACATTTTCCACCATACACTTCACATGGAAATAACCCTGAGAGAGAGAGCAGGAGGGAAAGCCATGATAAAAGGAAACTGAGGAAAGTCCTAAGACTTCCTTTCCCCAAACTAGACACAAGAATTATGTTTTACTAAGACTCAATGAAAACCCTCTCCACACTCACTGTCATGGACTTGATCCTGACTTACAACAACCCTGTAGGGCAGAGTAGAACTGCCTCGGTTCCACTAACTAGACGCTAACTCTCTAAAGGAGTAAAAAGCCTTGTCTTTTTCCCATGGAGTAGTGGCTGTTAGTTTCAAACTGCTGACTGTGTGGTTAGCAGGCCAATGCGCACCTTTCTACTCATCCAGGGTTCTTGTTCCCAAAAACAGGGCAGGTTATAGATCGTTCATAACTTGATTACCCCGGCTGGTCAAAGTCCAAAGTGGATTCTAACTCAAAATTACACTTTGGGACAGAGTAGAACTGTCCCAGAGAGTTTCCAAGACTGTCAACCATTACAGAAACAGATGGCTGCATCTTTCTCCCTACCCTGTCGTGTTAAATAATCTGTTGTCAATTTGAGACTTAAGAGCGAAGCGGTGGAGTTTAGCCTGCCAATCAGGCTTCAGCTTAATGACCCATTTGGAGGGGCTAAGGAGATAAGTAACTCACTGGAGGTGGGACACACACGCTCACTCCCTGCAAGACATTGCTGTTGAAAAGACACATGGAGCTACTCTAGAGCCCTGGAGCTGAAGGAGCCAAGTGGAGACCCCTGCCAGTGCTGAGAGGCTTACAATGCCACTGGATCCACAAGACTTTCCACCCACTGGCCTGTGATCTTTCTTCCTGCATTCGGCATCATTGCAAGTGCTGCATGAGCCTGAAGAAGAATTTATAGACTGTTAAAGGGCATATGGGCTCATACTGGACTTATGGACTTGATCTGGACTGGGCTGGGATGTTTTCTTACTATGCAATTGCTCTTTGATATAGTTCTCTCTTACACACACACTAGTGGTTGTGAATCTGTTTCTCTGGTCTACCCGGACTAACATACCTGCGAAGCAGCTTATGGGTTCTAGCCAATACAGCAGAGCACTTACACTACTGCACCACCAGGGTTTCTTTCCTCATTGAGCAAGGAAACCTTCAATCTTAATTGGTCAATTCTGGGTCTTCTAGTTGGAGATACCAACTAGTTGGTATACCATAGATGCATTCCCAAACAGTCAGCAGTTTCCATAGACTTTGTTGGCTTTCACTGAAAGAACAAAGACACTAGGAGTAATTCTTTATGTGAAAAAATAAAGGTTTTATGGAAAGCAAGGTGCTAGCTCCTGCTCTTACCCTTTGCTCTTGGTTCTGCAAAGTGGCAACAAGACAAATGAAGTAGAAGTGTCTGAGAGGCCAGAGGCCCTGGAGAATTCTCTTCAGTCAAAGGGGGTTACCTCTTGGAAAGTAGTAGTAGTCCTATTTGTTTTTTAAAACAATCATCTGGCATTGGTTTTCTCTAAGCGGCACAGTGACTCTTTTTTTATTGTTTGTGTTTTGTTCGGCAATAGTTGAATTAAGGAGAAACGACGACTCTCACTCATTCTGGTCTTGTTCCTGCGGTTTGTCTAGCTGATCACTGGATCAATCCCCAGAGTCAGGTCATTCTCATCTTCCCTGCCCTCCCCTGCGCCTTCCCACAGGTCAGCACCATCTCATACTTTCAGAAAGACTTGGGAATCTAGAATGGGTATTAGTGGTAAAGAACGATTTCTTGGACTACTTACTGCAAGAACTGCCCTGTCCCGTTCCACCAAGTCTGCAAGCTTATCCAACAGCCGTCCTCTTTCTGAGGCATCCATTCTTCTCCACACGGAACCAAGAGAGAAAGCCAGGCGGGCTGCCTGCACGGCTTTGTCTATGTCTGCCTGGGGAGAAGCAGCAGCAACAGTGACACTCCAAATGAGAACACCATCTACTCCCACATAGGACACAGAGCGAGGAGGTGGTGTGGGCTGGAGAGCTTCCGTCACCAAAGACTCCAAGTCCACTTCCGTTTCCCTTTTCCTCCTTTTGTGCCATTCACGCTAATACTTAGATCCAAGGGGGAAGAAACCTGGAGGGGTTTTGCTGTTTTTCATGAGGCAATTTTTAATTTTATTTTTTGTGTTAAATCTTCCATTTTCTTTGTGTGCTTGTTTCTCCCCCACTCCCATCCCTTCTCTCTCCCTAGTCCCCCTTCCATCCCTGGCCTGTAGCCATTAAAGCCTTGACTATTAATGTATAAACCACGCTCCTTCTTCTTTGTTTCCCCGTTTAACTATGGTGGTATTAAACATTTGTCATTGTAAGATGGACTGAGTTTGCTAAGCATAATGTCCTCTAGTTTTCTTCATGTCTTCTAGTATTTAATCAGAGTTATCACTCTTTTTTACTGATGCAAAAATTCCATAGTATGAATGCACCAGATTGTTTACCCATTCCTCAATAGTTAGGGATTTGGGTTGTTTCCATGTTTTTGCTATTATGGAAATTGCTATAATAAAGAAAGGTGTATGTATATATGTTTGTGTTATATTCTTAATTTGTTATATATATGAGGGGTACCCCAAAAAAACCAGAATTGCTCTGGGTGGGGTGGGACTTTCATAGTACACATATTCCCATAGGAGAGCATTGAGTGTTCTGAGCTAGTGCACCCAGGGGCATTGCTTGAGAAGGTTCTTTCTGGTCACAGGGAAATTTTTGTAAAAGCATTTTCACTCAAACCTTGTAATTCAGAGAACAGCATGTGGGTAAAATGTGGCAGGATCTGTTGTGATGTTGAACACAGCTTACAAGGACGGCACTACGGGAAAAACTCAAGTGTACAAGTAGTTTTCTCGTGTCAGAAGAGGTGAAATGCTAATTGATGACAAATCTTGTTTTGGACATCCATCAACTTCCTGAATGGATGAGAATGTCGACTCATAGTGCATTTTTGAGTTCGTTCCACCAGGTCAGAGTGTTAATCAAGCTTTCTACTTAGTGGTTCTGAAAAGATTGCATAACAGCATGTGACAAAAATAGGCCTGATTTGTGGCAGATGGGGGACTGGTTTTGCTATCACGACAATGCACCTGCTCACGCAGCCATCTCAGTGTGCCAGTTTTTTCACAAACAACAGCATGCCCCTCTTGCCCCACATACCTGACTCACCTGACCTAACTTTGTGTGACTTCTTTTTGTTTCCATGAATGCCAAGGGTCATGAAAGGACAGCGATTTGATGACATACAGGTGAGGAAAAAAATGAAGGAGAAGCAATCCAAACAGATGAGTTTGAAAAATGTTATCATGCCAGGGACAAGGGAAGAACAAGTGATCTAAAATCAGTGGTGAGGAGGGTGTAGGAGGCCTGGTAGGGCTTGATCAAGGGCAACATAACCGAGAGGAATTACTGAAACCCAAATGAAGGCTAAACATGATAGTGGGACAAGAGGAAAG